CCTACCTCAAAGGGGATGCTGCGCTGAACAATGGGCTCGTGCACCCCAAGCCCGCGCACGGCGGTTCCCGGGCGCTGTTGATATGCTAATCAGTGCGCGACGTTGGCGGCGTACATCCTAATTACTCCCTTACCCTTCCTAACAATGGGGCCTGCGCGCTCAAGCGCAATTATCCCAACCCTCAGCCCCTGTGACCCCGCTATTCATGCTGTCCCGTGCCTCCCCTGCTTGCCCCGTCGACCCGTGGGAGTGTGTGTGGGGGGAAATGCGCCTCAACCGCGGTGGCCGAATGCCCCACGCCGCGACCACACCATATTAAGGCCGGCCGCAGCGCCGCGGTGCCACGTAGCACGGGGGGGGTCATCCAATTCCCTGATCGCCGGAAACCGTGAGAATTAATCCCGATAAGGGTCTCTCGGATAAAAACCGGTCGATCAGGTAACCTTCCCTTCCAGCTCTATGGGGGGGGGGGGAATGCGTGCGGGTGTGTGCTTATGTGGGGGGGGTGATGGGGGGCAGTGCAGTGGGCGAAGCCGGGCGGCTCCCTGGCTCGGCAGAGCGGCCCCGTCGTTGTGGCACCACAGTTGCACCTTGGTGTCCAAAAGTCCTTGCTAACGTTGCAACGGGATTGTTATTGGCCCGGTATGACAGCCGACGTCTCTAAACATATTCGCTCCTGTCATGAGTGCGCCCGGCGGAAGCCGCCGCGCCTGAAATGCCATCCGTCGCTGCAATCTATTTCCATTACTCGCATCAATGAGTTGGTGACTCTCGATGTCCTGGGGTCCTTCCCGATCACTCCCAGGGTTAACAAATACCTTTTGGTGGGTGTGGAATTTTTTCCCCAGTGGCTGATGGCTTGGCCCTTACCTGACCAATCCGCATCCTCCATCGCTGATGCATTTTTGAATGGCTATGATCGCCTGTTGGGGGCAAAAATTGACCCTACCTGACCATGTGTGGGACTCCCTGCACCAGATTTCTGAGGCGCGGGAGGCGGCTCGGGTTAACACCGCTAAAACGCAGGCGTGCAATGAGCACTGTGCGCGCAGGTCCGGCCACAACTTGTCATGGTCCGTCGGCGACCGGGCCTGGCTCCATTGCCCTCAGGCACCTCTCCCAAACTGCACAAGCCGTGGCATGGGCCGGTTGAAGTGATTGAGGTTAAGCGCCAACAGTGTGTACGTATTCTGGCGGGTCGGCGTCGTTGGTTCGTCCACCCGTCGCGGTTGAAACCCTTCGTTCCTCCACGTGTTGCTTCGTCATCTCCACATATTGGGTTGCCGAGGTCTGGCGTGTCCGATGAGCCGGAGGGGGTGCGGTTGCATGTTGATCCTCCGAAGATTTCTGTTTTGTCGCCCACAGCATCCGAACCCCTGACTGCCATCGCGGACAATGGCCTTGCCGGGTCCGGCCCTGTTACATCGGACCCTTCCGCTCTTCCGCCCTTCTGCCGACCACTACACTTCCAGCTGGCTACCGCAGAGGGTCCGGCGTTGCGGACCCGTTCTAAAATGCCTCGATTTTTCTGATGTTCCGATTTATCTTTGCTTGGTTATTCGCCTTTTAATGCCGGCTCGTACAGTTCGTGTAAGGATTCAATCTAGGCCAAAGGTAACGGGCAGAGCTACGGGGAATATTCGGGAACCATCTAGAGCAGGGGTGTCCAAACTTATTGCAAAGAGGGCCAAATTTGATAAAGCGAAGATGCCCGGGGGCCAACAGTTCCTTCTGTCATTTTTTTTACCACACAAGTTACATGAAAATACACACTTATAAAACAATTTTCATTGTCACAATTACCTTTATTTTTCAAATGACAATGTAACCAAATATAAGCCACTCAGGCAGACGTGAACAACTCTAAAAACACACTTCTGCCTTTCATTCAGTCACATAACATTGAACAAACTGTATAGAATACCTTGAATTTCCATGAGTTAAATATCTTTGCCTCATGAACATTTTAAACAGGAGTTATAAGTAATGCCAAGTGGTCTGTTATCATTAAACTTTAAAACAAGTGAATTTTGCCCTTGTCTTTTACAATATCTTTCAGAAAGCAATAGTTTGTGTCACATCTAGAGGCACATAACATCAACAGCTATAACCAAATCTTATTCAAGAGTTTAATAAAACCAGGGCCATAAGCCCAAGTGCATTAGTGTGCTTTAGGCTTTTCACTGTTAATAGTGACAGATGTTACCGTTCAAAACACTCAATTTCAGATTGATCAAGGAACAGATAACTTGCTGACACTATCTTCTTGGTTCTTTCGGTAAAGTCACGTAGAAGGGAAGTAATCAAATAATACAAATAAAACATAATAAAATAATTCTCAGGACGTTTCGGCTACAACGGCTGCTTGCGTCGTAGCCGAAAAGTCGTGAGAATTATTTTATTATGTTTTATTATTTTATTACTTCCCTTCTACGTGACTTTACCGAACGAACCAAGAAGATGAATCCCTGCAGTCACGAAAGCTTTAAATCTAAATTGCTGACATTAATGAGAAGGGTGATACTGAGATCTAGATTTCAGTAAAGAGACCAGGTCTGGCTTGAGGGCAGTGGTTGAGATGCGTAAAATGTCACACAAGTGGGAGTCACTCATCCTTGACCTCAATCGGTTCTTGTTTAAGTTCATGACTGAGAATGTTTGCTCACACAAATATGTGGAGCCGAATAAGCTCAGCATTTTCTTAGCGAATAACCGCATTTCTGGAAACCTGATTTTGTCCAGCTGCCGGTAAAAGTCAACAAGAGAACACTGTTGGTGTTTTCCGCGGCACTCATCGTCACACTGCAGCTCAATGAGCTCCAGCTGCAGCTGTGGAGGAGCATCATCAGGGTCCACGGAGAAGGGAGAAGAGAAAAGCAACGTCCTTTTCAATAACTGCAAAGTCCCGAAAGCGTTTCTTAAATTCCACAAAAAGAGATGCGATAGCTGTTGCATAACTTCATTTACGCACCGATGTTGTCCTGTGGAAAACTGTCAATGACCTCTTTCAAAGCTGGGAAGTGCGCAGTGCAGGCCTCTGTTTGGGACAAGTGTCTATGGAAAAGTTGCAGTTTGGTTCCAAAGGCCTTGTTGTGAGTGTATAGCTGGCTATACTGCATCTTTTCCTTGAAGATTAACATTCAGCGCATTCAGATGCTTCGTTATGTCAACCAAAAAAGCCAGATTTGCCAGCCATACAGGATCGGACAGTTCTTCCATTGGTTGTCCCTTCTCACCCAAAAAATGTCCAATTTCCTCTGAGAGAGAAAAATCGCTGCAGTGCAGACCCCCGACTTAGCGACCTCACATCGTTGTGATATATTACGTCACCGTATTCATCCTGGATGTCACGCAAGAACTGAAACTGTCGGCGGTATAGAGCTTTAGAGCAAATATACAGTAATTGATTGCCTTTGCCACTGGTTTCATAACATCGTCAAATTTGAGATGTTTGGCGCAGAGAGCCTGCTGGTGAATGATACAGTGAAGTTTAATAGTGTTACCTGCGTCTTCGCTGACTTTATTGCAGATCAGTGTGGACAATCCACTTCGCTCACCAGCCATGGCAGGCGCACCATCGGTAATGATCCCAGAAACTTTACTCAATGGTAGTTTCATATCATCAACAGCTTCACAAACAGAAACGAATACATCTGTTCCTCTGGTTTGCCCTTTAAGGCTTTTGAGGTCAAGCAGCTCCTCTATCACGTTCATGTTGTCATCAACTCCTCTTTAAAAAATAAGTAGTTGTGCAGTGTCAGATGCATCGGTGCTTTCATCGCAGGCTGATGAGAAATAATGAAAAGCCACTCCCCTGTCCCCCAGTTGTCTCTGAATATCTGACGATATGTCCTCAACTCTCCATGCCACAGTGTTGCGTGCCAGGCAAACATTCATAAATTCTTGCTTCTTCTCGGGGCAAATGTTCTCCACCATTTTCATGACACAGTCTTTGATAAACGCACCTTCAGTAAAAGGTTTGCCATGTTTAGCCATTAACATGGCCACTTCGTAGCTGGCTTTGGTGATTTTTTCCTTTGACTCACAGGCCCGCGTGAAGAATCGCTGTTGCGATGCCAGAGCAGCTTGGAGTTGCTTCACTTTTTTAGCACGGTCACTCCCTGTCGTATGTTGCAGCATGTTTAGTCTCGTAGTGTCTCTTTACGTTGAAATCATTAAACAAGGCAACCGTCTCTTTACAAATTAGACAAACACAGTTGCCTCGATTTGCAGTGAAGAAGTATTGTAATTCCCACCGCTCCTGAAAGCGGCAGCCCTCACTGTCAACTTTTCTCTTTTTTTTTGCAGTCGCCATGGCAGAAATGATTCGAGAAGGGTTCGCGGCACGGATGCAGAGCCAGATAGCATTAGAATGGTGCTGCCACCGTGTGGTGAAAGGAGGAATTACATCTTTAAAGTTTTATGATTTATTTATTCTGACAGAGCTATCGAGCCATAAATAACACATTATAAGACCGAAGCTGTGGGCCATATGAAATCTGACCGCGGGCCGTGTTTGGCCCGCGGGTCGGACTTTGGACATGCCTGATCTAGAGCGTTCCATGAGGGGGCGTGGCCATAGGTGGAGCTTAGCTCCGCCGGGGGGCATATAAGCGGAGGCAGGAGAGTACTTGAGGTCAGTGTGGGAAGCCTTGTGTCTGGACTGCATCACCGCTCTACCTCTCCTCGCCAACGACCACGTGGCGAACCTCCAGTGAAGCCGTGTCTCCTCCGGGAGCGCACCCAGCCAGCGGCGTGAACGGAGAGAGAGAGGGAGACGTACCACAGCAGCGGACGAGGAAGCGAGAGAACTACCCAGAGAGACTTTGACTTTTAAACAACTTTTATTGCCGCGAGCAGCAAAAGCACCGGAGGCGACTCCAATTCGAAACCCAGTCAGCAGCAACCGAAAAGAAAACAAACGTTACATAATCGTTACAAATCTACGTGCTGTGGTGCTGAAAGCACAGCACACAACACAAAAGAAAAAGTCACGTGGTTGTGGTGTCATCGCGCACGTCACGGTGACGAGCGAGCATTTCAGAAAGTAAACATGAGGGTGCCGTCCACGCTGGTGCAAAGGGCCTTTCCGGCTCCCCAGCGTTCGAAGAATACATGCACATCATCGACGTGTGTGTGGTACGCGTGCTCCAGCCGGAGCCGTGCCTTAAGCAGGCCTCTGAACACCGGAAGCACACTACCCAGAGAGAGAGAGCACGGAGCTATGCAGACATTCTGTTAAATGAAAGACACCAGTTCAGAGTCGTCGTGGAAGTCGTTTATTACACTTGTAATGATACAGCCAAGTTTCAACCTTAACACAACGTGGAAAGCCTAAACTGTGTCCAAACTACACTCGTACTAAATGTACTGTACATAACATGACATTCCTCTACAACTTTACTTAAAATTAGTTTCTACGAACAATGTATCCTACAGTTCGCCTCGAATTCGACTCGTGCACAATGTGGCAATGCGGTGAACGAAACCCAACTCGATATACCTCCTCGATGTACTTCGGCGACTGCTGAGCGAACCGTGTCCAGTTCCGATAGCACAGAGATGACATACACTGTGGAGCAGCGCTGCTCCGGTGGAGGAGTGTGCCGAGCCGTTTGAGAGCGATGGTTCCGCGTCAGTTTGCGATGCCCTCGATGAAACCGAGGAACTTGTAGACCCTGGTGAAGACGCCGGGATATGCACGTGCTGGTAGGTAGTTGCATTGGTTGCCCCAGCTGGCCAAGCCAGTAACATACCACCTGTCGTCCTCCTCTCTGCACACCAGCGACTGGGCCGTGTTTGCCTAAAACACAAATAATGATTATAATTACGTTTCAGAAAGAAATTCAGAATCAGAATATTTATTACTGGAATAATCCGATGAGCTATTTTTCACATATGTGCAGTAGGGGCGGGTAAGAACGTTACAACAACAAACTAAACTAAAACACGATAGTAGTGCAAAGTACAAGAAAGGTAAACAAATCACCAAAACACAAATTAAACTAAACCATCCCCATCCTACTAGGCAAAGCCCACTGATGTATTAACTTCTTTTTCAGAAGCGACCTGGCCACAAATGTTAGCGCAACAAAGTGGCACATCATTTGGACATCTGTAGCAGCAAAATAAAATTTAAGACGCGGTGGAGAAAACGTGATGAAAATAGCACTGCAAAATGTCTCTCCAATGGAGAATGCCGGCAGTAGGTAAGAAAAGATGGGAAAAGTTGCTCAACATATTTCGGATAGGGGCTAAACACAAGGCCTAACTGTCCGTCAGGAACTGAGACCCTCTGCAACGCTATGTTCATCATTACCATCACGTTTGTATCGAGACACTTTTCAGAAGGGTGCTGCCAAGTTTTCGCAATGGAGAGCGATGTTGCTGCGTGTAATCCCAACTACAGTAAGTAGATTTCAGGCGTTTTTTTATCATTGCGATGCGTGGCCCATAACAGTTATACTGTGTGTGTTTTTGTAGCTATGGAAGGAAACCCGTGTAGAACAGGGGGAGAACATACAAACTTCACAGAGAAAGGCGCCCGAGTCAGGCATAAAAACCCAGGCCCTTCTTGCTGAGGCACAAGCGTTCCCACTGCGCTACCCGGCCGCCAAGTGGCACAAAGATCACACAGTATTAGTCGTGTATGTTATACTGTTCCATACATATGTAGTGACATCCGGGATGTCACTGTATGGTGCCGGCCCGAGAGGGCCGTGGCATACGATGTCCCTACATCGCGGACAGCACCGGGTGGGTTGCTATGTGAGGCCGGCTCTAGCACAGCACGGCGTGCGATGCACCGTCATCGCGTACACCCCGTAGGCGTGTGTAGTACCAGCCCTAACGGGGCTTGGTGAGCGCTGGGATAGCGCGGGCACCACGCACAGCGTGTAGTGGCGGCTCCCACCAGGGGGAGTGGGAGAGTGCCAGCCCAGGGGCAGGGATGCCCCGGGCCATGGCACTCTGGTTGACCCCATAGACACGTGATCCGGAGTGTCCACAGAGAGGGCCCAGGTGGGGGGGCTAGGGGGTGATCACGTGTCCAGGGAGAGCTCTCGAGAGGGATCGAGAGGGAGCTAGAACGCTCGAGAAGGTGGGTGGGGCCTTGGGTGGAGCGGCCCCGAACCGAGGGGATATAAGGTGGGTCCCTGGGAGGGACCAGGTTATTCGTTCTACAAGCTGGAAGCTCCACGTCTACAAGCTGGAATCTCTACGAGGCATCAACATGTGGTCGGGGACCCGAGTGAGGGTCTGACCCTTCGTAGCTGTAACTCTTACGTATAGAGTAGTTAGCTGGGTGGATACCACCCGAGGCTGTATCTGGTGAAGGGGCAGTTACCCCTTTGTGTTAACGGGTTGATGTTACAATAAAAGTGTTGCCTCTAAAGAACAACGTCTACGACTCAGTTGGACTCACTACACATACATCAAATGAGGGCTGGTCAAAAGCTGTATACCCCCATCAATGGCTTGTTTCAACCCCCTATCTAGTTACCACATTCATAATTCTTTACAGACCTTTGTCCATCCACCGCTGGACGAAGGCTTCCCCATGTCGTGTCAGTCAAGGGGATTATTTTGACCATACTTCACTACACTGGTCAGTGTAGGTTGGCGACCAAGGAGCCCAGGATTGGTTCAGACATCAATCGATAAAGAGCACAGTGCGCTATCTGCTTCACCACCGCTCCTCCAATGTTTATGAATTGTGTGCGTTAACAAATTGAATGTCGTTTGAGGGGAATTGTAGGTCTGAGAAAGAAGCACGTTCCAGGCATCTGGATTTGCGACCTGATGCGAGCCAGAATGAGCGTTAGTTTCATCTCACAGGGTTCATCGGGCACTGGCTGACGAGGGCCCTCTGGACATTTCGCCAATAAGGGTGGGGAAGAATGCAAACGGGTACATGAACGGCTTGTCCAATCAAAAAGTAAAAACATGAGGCCATGCGCATCTCCCGTTTAAAGTCCTGAGCGAGTGGTGGGAAATCCACATACCTGTGGCCAGAACAAGTCTATACATAGGAAAACTTCTGATGACTTCTATCAAAGTGGTACCTATTTTGTCATACCCTGAAAGGATGAAGGGGTGAGTCAACCCCAACCGAGATCCAACTCCGTTTGAAGCACTTTAACAATTGTCACAGCCAGATATAGCAATGTGAAAATTGATTGCCGCGTTGGCGAGATGTTAACTACCTTGATTTGAAGCTTTCGTGACTGCAAGGATTCATACTCTTAGGTTTTTTCGGTAAAGTCACGTAGGTAAAAAATAAAATTACTAAAAGTAATAATAGAAATAAAATAAAATAATAAATCACGACGTTTCGGAGGCAACACAAGTCTCCGTCATCAGGTGGGACCGTCACAGCTAAAATTACTGCATCAAGTGAGGCAAAATTCCAAGAGACCAGCCCTTAAATACAAGTTAAGGGGGAGGGGCTTATCTGAATGTGGTAACCAGGGAATGGAACGTGGGGGTGGTGGGCGGGGCTACAAGAGAAATTGGCCAATGTCGTCAATGTGCAAGAGAACAATCCGTGTACCTCGACCTAAACCGGTGTTGGTTGAGAATCCAAATATACAAGCAGTACTGTTAAACGCTGGGGATGTCAACACTCGGTAAAGTAGAAAAGTACCTGTCAAATAAGATGGTACAAATGTGTAGTTAAATCTTTTTTGCATGGTTAATAACATGTTTCCAATGATTACTCAGTTTGTACCCATCATCACAGTTGAAGTTATGTCTGTGTTTGTAAATCTGGATGGCTTCGTGTACAAACCTTTGATGGTAGCCAGAGGGTTTGCAGAGCACCTTGGTCTCGGAAAAAAACAATATCATGAGAGCCTACAGCGTTGTAGCAATGATCGGCAATGTTGCCGATGTTATTAAAGATGTTATTAACCATGCAAAAAAGATTTAACTACACATATTTGTACCATCTTATTTGACAGGTACTTTTCTACTTTACCGAGTGTTGACATCCCCAGCGTTTAACAGTACTGCTTTTTTGTATTTGGATTCTCAACCAACACCGGTTTAGGTCGAGGTACACCGATTGTTCTCTTGCACATTGATGACATTGGCCAATTTCTCTTGTAGCCCCGCCCACTACCCCCACGTTCCATTCCCTGGTTACCACATTCAGATAAGCCCCTCCCCCTTAACTTGTATTTAAGGGCTGGTCTCTTGGAATTGTGCCTCACTTGATGCAGTAATTTTAGCTGTGACGGTCCCACCTGATGACGGAGACTTGTGTTGCCTCCGAAACGTCGTGATTTATTCTTTTATTTCTATTATTACTTTTAGTAATTTTATTTTTTACCTACATGACTTTACCGAAAAAACCTAAGAGTATGTTAACTACCTTGCCTGGTATACAGTATATCATGGGTTTGATCCCGACCCTGACGATGCCTGCTATATATTTGGACTTTGCAAGTCTCTCTCATCGTGGTCGCATGGATTTTTCTCGGGGTCCTCCGGTTTTACACTCCACATTTAGAATCAACGTGCGTTTAGAGAATTGGAGTGTCATTAAACGCGGGTGGTGGTGTGTTTCTAACGACAAATATTTGAACAGATCGTTATGTAGCCCTAACCCGATCATCAGCTATGAATAGTAATATTATTGATTGCAAACCCCTGTGTTAAGTTAAGAGAGTAGTGGTGTTTATTGCTGACTACTTGATGTTTTGGACCTATGCTCAGCAACTGTTAAACAATTATAAGACATTTTTGTCTTTTTTCGCTTCGTTATTTTTTAAATGATCACGTACCCACGTGCGTGCGTACGCGTACTCGCTAACAGCACTTGCCGCAACAGTCTGTTAACAGTATACGGGGGATGTTTGTCTTTGTGTGCATACTCACCCAGCACCCACTGTGCTCAATGTTCTGTGCGCAGAGCATGCGGCTGGATAAGGCGCTGCCGTAGAACTGCGCAGACGCGCAGTCACTCTGGCTGAGTATTCCCAAGGGAAGTCCGTACCCTGAAACACAGGAGGTCTCACTTACGATAATGTTAATGCGCCAAAGTTATTTCCTGCTCAACATGTCCTATGACGGGGCTGAATCTTTCCACGGAAAAAAAACTACCGTTGGCTTGACTATGAATGAAGGCAACTGGGATTTGAGTTCATGAAGGGTCACGGGGGACGGTGTGTCCGTTGAAATCGAGGCTGCTGGGCCTTCTCGTGTCACGAGCCGAAGACATCTGCAAAGTAGGACTTCACGATCGAGTTGAAATAATGCGCAGAAAATGATCGAGAAGCGCAACTCCAGTGACAAACGATGGACACAACGACTTGTGTGATCGTTCACCGCAGGGAACAAACCACGCCCGGCGTAGAGAATGTATGTATGTTGAACTTCTTTCGCACTGTACGTAGCCAACCGTGCTAATAATCGGAGGTGTGGAGACGATGCAGAGGATGTTGAATACGTACCATTGCCGAGGTAGCAGACTTTCCCTGCAGCAGGGGAATGCCGCGTGGCGTGAGGCAGGCACACCGCACTCACTGCGTCCGAGAACGGCACTGCTTTGCTCAGCTCCACCACGGCGACGTTGTAGTCGTGCGTGCTTGCGTTGAATCGGCTGTGTACTGAAATGATTCCCACGCTGTGGAACACGCCATCGCTGTACCTGATGGTCCATTTCGGGACGTCTTGGCTGCAAGAGACGCACCCGCCGCGCCTATTTGCAAGTGCGAAAAGTGATGGGGCAGCCAAGTGGTCGAAGCACGAGGCGCGAGCCAGCTCGTGCCGAGGGAACGGTTCGATTCCTACAACCACCTGGGTCATCTCTGCAATTAATGAGCAAGACCTGTCTTCTTGTATGGGGATAGTGAACCTTTAAAAACACACGCTCGGTTCAAAACAATATTAATTTAGTGCACCTGCCGGAACTCGTTGGCGGGTCCAACTGTAAGGGTGCACCAAATTCCATACAACAGACAAGTAAAAGATAATGTAGATGGAGAATCGCGAGTGCACGTGCGCGTGCCACAGTGTGAACTTTGACTCGAGTGCGTGTGCAGGAGGTTTTTTGTTCGAAGAACGGCGACCGGTGGTACTCACGCAGTGACGATTTGCTTAGCGGTCGTTAGGATCCACCTCCTGCCAATAATCGTGCCGTTGGCCGCAAAGCGACTGTTGAAGAACAGCTGCACATCCCAAGGGAAGTTCCTCCAGTCTGATGTCTTTCCGCAGGCTGCGAACAAACACGCGCACACTCATAGCATGGGGCTAAAACAGGGCAACGATGAAACTGTGATTATTATTGTAACACTTTTATTGGTATTGTCGAATACTTTTGTCTCGGACATTTAGTTACCAATTTGATCTCAGCTTCTTTATAGAAATACAGGCGTTGGGTGAAGTGGTATTTTTAATTCTGAAAAGTTGTTTATGATGGCGAGTTGTGCGGGCGAGCGGCTTGGTGAGAGGAAGGGATGAGCAAGGATGGATAGACGGTTACGTCCACAGGACGCGAGGGCTTTTTTGTAAATAAATCAAAACTTGCACTCACCTGCAGATGATGGCGTAGCTGTGACAGAGCTGTACTTGAGCCTGAAGCCCCTTTCTGGATTTTATTAAAAAAAAAACATTAAACTGTAAGTTACATCATACAGCATTGCAACGATACGTATACACAGGGTATCTACTACAATGGAATCGTCATAAAATGGCATCATTGCTTATGATGCTTTTTCTAACTCGTATCAATTAATCTCAACTCAAGCGTGTGTGCCACATCGATGAGCGCGGATTGCGACACATCACGTCGGCAGCACGACTCCGCTTCTCAAGAGGATGAACAACCGGGCGCCTCGTGAGCTGTGCCAGGTTGGCTCGGTACTAGCCCTGGCGCGGCTCGGTTGTCTAGTGGGAAATAAAAAAAAACTATGTTGGAGTAGAAAGCTGCGGCGGACGTACCCACAAGGGGCCCTGTGGACCTCAGCACCAGCGTCAGGTTGCTCTGCGTGGACTTGAAAGAGACGGAGGGCATGGAGGTCCCACAGAGCACGACCAGGGCGTTGGCCCTCGCTGCTCCGTCCAGAACGGAGAGGCTCTCGTTTGCGCACACCACGTCTTCCCGCAGGCTGTGGTCCGTCAAATAAGCACAAGGCCGCAGTCACCACCGTTTGCTTCGGCTTACCTTAAGCACCCCCCAACTCCCACCGCCATTCGCCACTAAGTGGCGGTAACGTCACCACAACGATTGTGCCAGGCGATGTGCACGCTGAGGCCACATGAAGTGTCGAACGCCAGGAGGTCACGGGACAGATCCAGGTGCCATGGGTCGACTGACTGAGATGCAACCTCCCACCACCGATTCAACAAACACTCTGCATAGAAAATCTGTCTGCCGCCACACCAGAAGGTGAAAGCATTTTGCAAGTTGCCAATGTAATTTCCAATCACAAGTTCAACTCGAGAAACAAAGTTTGCTTAGATTTTTTGGAAGTAAAAAAAGTGAAAATTCAAAGTCACGTAATGAGAGGATCATAACTGAAGACATTTTACATGTGATTACTATTGGCATTTAAATGCCCACACGTGGCGTTGAAGCCCGGTTAGCCCACGGCTCCATACCAGATTATCACTAGCCCGTACCACCCGACGTAGTAGCTGTAGTTGTTTTAGACGGTGGGTTTGGAAATACATTTCAACACTAATCGTGATGTTCAAATCATTTTATTTCATTGGTCATGCAGTGTAAAGAAAACAATTGGTGGCACTACAGACGTTTCCCACCTAGGCTGCTCTCGATCACCACTCTGGTCCGTGAGCTGCATTTGTTGGTGGTTTGAATTTGCCCAGGAAATATTTTTATGAATTTAAAGTTCAGGCCATAATTGACTTTATGTGTGTTCTTGTTGATAAGACAGCCAACATTCCAGCCGGAGCCTGAAGCTATAGGTCCTAAACAAATGTGTAATCTTAAAAAAATATGAGCCCCTTATGGCGAAACTGTCTGAAAAATACACGGAGGATACAGTGGTGTTAAAATAAAAAATAAACATTCTAAACGTAAAATAAGACGTCTGTGGTTAAATCCACTCGTGTACAAAAGTAAATGTTAAAACGCACCTCACATTTATTTTTAGCTTCTGTGGGGTTAGCGGATTGTGTGAAACGGCATGCGATTACGATTGAGGAAGGTATTATTGTTTTCTCAGAGACAATGGGACATCCATTCTATACACGGCCAGACGCGCACATGTGCCCTTGATGTGCATGCCCATCTGTGCACTCCAACAATGCGCGTGCACACAAAGGGGGCTTTTACCTGAGCCATTCAAACTTGATTTTGATGACCTTTCGGGAGACGGCCACAATGAGGAAGGTGAAATCCACATCTGTGTCGTTTGGGACATGGTCTCGGGAAGACACGTTGCCTTCGTACCCAGAGAACTGGATGGTTCTCGTTGATGGAACTTTTACACACAAAGATTGAGAACAAATATCACATAAGCAATGTGGTTATGTGATAGCAACTTCATGATTTTTCACGATAAAACAAAGAGAGTCGATGTATGTGTGACCTGTGAAATCCATAGTTTCACAGTGTGCCACACAAAGACAGACGGTCACTGTATTTGCATGCTTTCATATGCGCTTCTGCGGCCGTCTGGAACGTTCTTCCGAAATTAGGAAGCGACTGGAGCTATGCACTTTTAAATCTAGATTGAAAACTAATTTCTTTATAAGTTATTTCTTTGTGTTTAGTTTGTTGTGCTTCCCACACACCTCCGATTAGCACAGTTAGCTACGTAATTTGCAAAATAAGTTCAACATAATCATACAGAGTTTGGTACCTGCAAGCGCCACGCTGCTCAGCTGGAGGAGCAGGGCGATCTGCGCCCACTGCGTGCCCATTGCTCGTCCCTATCGCAGGCTGACGACTTCGCACAGTGCCCAACGCCACCTGCACTCACGGGGGCGGGGAGGACAACCAATTACACAGCCAAGCGCAGTATCTATGGGCCAGCTCGCCCGCGACACGGCCGATCTCGCCAGATCTCGCAAGCTAAGCGGATTTGAGCCTGGATATCACTTGGATTGGCGGTCGCCACACGTAGAACAGCAAAATGTTGACTTGAAAACTGCTCAACTTACAACATTCGTCCGGTTTGCTAAAATGCAAAATAAATCTGCATATTTGCCCATGCGATAACTAGATTGGATTGGCTCTTTTGGGTGGTGGAGGGCTATCGTTGAGAAACTTCGGCATTACACTGACACGATCTAACCCAACCTGAAACGAATTATTTTTTATAGCCCAGGGGAACACAAGAAATGCGACTGGATGGAATTGGTTGTTTCCTTTCCTTTCCAACCAGACTGCCCGTCTCTCTTTTTAATGGAGACCTGGTTTACACAAGCAGATAAAAGGAGTTAAAAGCAGTTGCACAACAAGAACATGACGTAGATAATGTAAATAAGACATTGTAATTAACTCAACACAATGTAAATACCATGCACATGTGGCGGGACTCGTATCAAGAGATGATCATTTTAATAAGAGGAGTTTTTCCTCGCACTGCTTATTTTATGAAAAGGCCATGTTGATGGAAATGTTGAGAACGTCCTTTAATATATATTTTTTACCTGCTATAGTGCGTTACTTGATAGAAGTAGCAATATTTTACCGCAGTATATTCACAACTTTCCCCACATGAGCACTGACGATTTCAAGGCTGCTTACCAGCAGATACTGAACGAGGAGGCTCTGTGAAGGAGCGCTGAGGCCTGCCAAGCCACCTCCACACACCCCAGCAAATGAATCTTTCTGGGTGTGCACCGATGCTACACGGGAGACACGCCTCATGCACAGTGGTGCTGACGCAGCCAGACTATTTAAATGAAACACCTTTCTCATGTTAATTTTAGCTCTTTGTCAACACACTATGGGATTGAGAACCCCCACACTTCACCACGGGATTGAAAGCCCCCACTCTTCACTGCGGGATTAAAAGCCCCCATACTTCACCACGGGGCTGAAAGCCCCCACACTTCACCACGGGATTGAAAGCCCCCACATTTCACCACAGGGCTGAAAGCCCCCACACTTCACCGCGGGATTGAAAGCCACCACACTTCACCACGGGGTTGAAAGCCCCCACACTTCACCACAGGATTGAAAGCCCCCACACTTCACCACGGGATTGAAAGCCCCCACATTTCACCGCGGGGTTGAAAGCCCCCACACTTCACCGCGGGATTGAAAGCCTCCATACTTCACCACGGGATTGAAAGCTCCCACACTTTACCACGGGATTGAAACCCCCCACACTTCACCACGGGATTGAAAGCCCTCACACTTCACTGTGGGGTTGAAAGCCCCAAAACTTCACCGCGGGACTGAAAGCCCCCACACTTCACCGCGGGATTGAAAGCCCCCCACACTTCACCACGGAATTGAAAGCCCCCACACTTCACCACGGGATTGAAAGCCCCCACTCTTCACTTCGGGATTAAAAGCCCCCATACCTCACCACGGGGCTGAAAGCCTCCACACTTCACCACGGGATTGAAAGCCCCCACATTTCACCACGGGGCTGAAAGCCCCCACACTTCACCGCGGGATTGAAAGCCACCACACTTCACCGCGGGGTTTAAAGCCCCCACACTTCATCACAGGATTGAAAGTCCCCACACTTCACCACGGCATTGAAAGCCCCCACATTTCACCGCGGGGTTGAAAGCCCCCACACTTCACCGCGTGATTGAAAGCCCCCACACTTCACCACGGGATTGAAAGCCCCCACACTTTACCGCGGGGTTGAAAGCCCCCACACTTCACCGCGGGATTGAAAGCTCCCACACTTTACCGCGGGGTTGAAAGCCCCCACACTTCACCGCGGGATTGAAAGCTCCCACACTTCACCGCGGGGTTGAAAGCCCCCACACTTCACCATGGCCACACCTCCCTCCCAGAGAGTTTCAAGGGGGTCCCGGGGGATCCCAGCACATCCCGCAACCCTCCCTTGCCTCGGAGCTGAGAAATCTAGTGGCCCCTGTCCCGGTTCGAGGTTTTGCCCCTGGTGGACCCTTTCTGCAACTACAGGTAAGTAGCGCGACCCATTAAGTATATTTATAGCCCTATTTACAGCGCAACATCACCCCCCCCCCCCTCGTAGCACCCAGCCGACCTAGCTGTAACAATAACATCAATAAAGACCTTAATAATAAAAAAAAAACGTGTACGTGTGCCTCAACTGAACGGGAACGAAAACAAAAACTGCGTGGACCCACATAAATACCCGAGCCCACCTGTACAAATAATACACTATTTACACAATATACATAGTACGATCCCAAGCTCCAGCCACACCAACAAGACGCACATGGCGACAGAGCGGCCCATGGCCGCTAGACCACGTTGAAGAGAGAGAGAGAAAGAGAGAAGAGAAACGACGGACTCGGCCAATCAAATGCAAGGTAAGTGCTGGGTGGATTGGGACAATATTTCATGGGCAGGGATCAAGAAAAATGTCTGGACTTCGAGCGAGTCCTTGTGGCTGGCCCATCTGGCGTGGCCGAGGCCCGTGGGGGCAGAAAGTCCGGGGTCCGTCCGGTTTTCTGGCCGCCCGACTGGGCAGGCAAGTGGGTGCCTGCTGGGGTGGTCGTCGCCGGCGGCCGGGGCAATTTCACTCCCGCGGCATCTGAGGGTTGAACAACACAGCTCGGCTGAGAGTTATAATCCTCAGTGGCACGACCCGGCTCGTCGGACACTTCGCGCTCTCGACCCTCGTGAAGTGTGGGTGGTGTGTGCGGGTGGACATAAGGTTTCAGGCATGATGGGTCGACAAACCAGGACCGCCTACCATGCTGGATCTTCACGCACTGGGGTCGGACGACGCGGACGATTTCTACCGGGCCTCTCCAGAGCTTAAGCAGCTTTGGCGACGTAGTTAGTGGTACTTGGGGGCAGTGGAGCCAGGCACGGTCCCCCTCCGCCCAAACATGGTGAGACGTGCGAAGGTTCTGCAACTGTTCACTGGCTAGTTGACATGCCTCGGAATTGTATTTAGCTGCCTCCCGGGCATCCACCAAGCGACGGACATTGGCAAGGATGTGGTCGGCGATTTTAATCTTGGGTGCGGGCTGCGTAATGCGCAATTGGATGTCCACCAGAAGGCAGACTTCCCTGCCATACATGAGGTAGGACGGCAAGTACCCGTAGCCGCATGGGGCGCAATTCTATAAGCGGCCAGGACGCCAGGGACGTGGAGGTCCCACTCAGTCTGCGACTCCGACACTTGGTGGCTTTGCATGGAGGTGAGCATCCTGTGAAGTCGCTCTACCATACCATCTGACTGTGAGTGATACGACGAGGTCCGAATTTTGTGTGTACCCAGTAGGTTGCACACGTCCTGCAACAAGGTGGATCGGTCAGCAGCCGTTCGGGAGCACCCTTATCCAGGACGTAGCCCTGAATAAAGGCCTCCATAATGGCTGCTGCTGATTGGTTGGGGAATAGCCAGGCCATGGCCCACCGGGTAAAGTATTCCACCCCAACCAATCAGTACTTATTACCCCGAGGAGTAACGGAAAATGGACCTAAGATATCCAAAGCCACAATCTTGTTTACCCGTGAAACGTGAATAGATTGGAGGTGCGGGCAGGACGGCCTCACCGGAGGTTTCTGCCAGGCACATTCGGTGCAACCGTGAAGGTCAGCCATGTCCCTCCCCATGCCCGGGTGTCGCAAGCATCTTCTGGACATCCAGATGTAAGAGACGACCGTGGGTTGCCCACACAAACTTTCCCCGCAGGGAGGATGGCACGACCAACTTGTACTCCTGGGAACCGCCGTCCCAATGCAAGAGAACACCGTCTTGAGTGACGAATGAGACGGGGCTTCTCCGGCCTCCGTCCCCATTTGAATCCTGTGCACGGTGGCACAATTTGAGAAGGGAGACGTCTTCCGTCTGGAGACGCTCCCATTCGTCCAAACCGAGGACCAGCAATGCGTCCTGTGCGATCGGCATGAGAGGAGCCCCATGCTCATCGACCCCATCCCCAGCCAAGGCAGCGAGGGATGGGGGCGGTCCTAATTCAGGCTGCTTACAATGCCCCGCACCAAGGAAACAAGTGCATCACCTGTCGGTTGGCAGCCACGACAACCCATCGGCGTTTCCATGGCGGATCCTCTTCCGGTAAACAACCGTGAATGCAAAGTCTTGGAGGATCTCGAGCCAGCGCGACAGCTGCCCAGACAGCTGGTCAACCCTTAAAGCATACTGAAGCGCCGCATGGTTGGAACACACAGTGAAGTGTCTGCCATATAGGTACGGTCTATATTGCTATGCGAAAAAGACGATAGTGAGCAGTACGCGACGGGTCACACAGTAACACTGCTCTGCGGGTGATAGCACCCTGCTGCCATAGGCGACGATGTGCTCGACCCCATTGACGACTTGTAACAGCACCCCCCCCCAATGCTGGTGTTGCTGGTGTCAGTATCCAGAATGAATGGGATGGTAAAGTCTGGATAAGACAAGGGAGGGGCATCAACCAGCACCTCTTGAATGGCGTCAAACGCGGCCTGTTCTAATTCTTCCCAACGGAATGTGACGTCTTTCACTGTCAACGTGTGAAGGGGCTTTGCTATAGTCGCGAATTCCACCACGAACCGCCGGTAGTAAGAGGCAAAGCACACGAAATTTCGCACCTCCCCAACAGAGGTAGGGGTCAGCCATGAGCGTACGCATTTGGTCTTTTCTGGGTCCGTTGCAATGCCGGAGCGGCTAACAATATTCTGGTCCTCGCTGGAGCCCAGCGAGAACAGGAGATCCACCCACCAGGGCATCGAGTGACTCGTCCATTCTGGGAAGCAGGTTAGCGTCGGCCACGGAGCTTTTGTTAAGTTTTCTGACGTCCACACAGAACCGGAGGCTACCGTCGTGTTTTTTGACAAGAACGATCGGTGCCCCCCATGGACTGTTGGATGGCGCAATGATATCAGTCGCCAACATATCGTTGACGGCTACCCGCACTTGCTCCTTCTCAACCGGACTCAACCGGAACGGGTTTTGTCGAATTAGAGCGGCATCACCTGTGTCGATGTGGTGGCTGAGTAATTTGGTACAGCCAATGTCGAATTTCCCCTGACTAAAAACATCCGCAAGGCCGTGCAGCAACGTTCGTAATTTAGCCCGCTGTGACGGCAGCAAATTTGTACAACCTGAGCAAAGCACGTCGAGCCATTTATCATCAGGTTCCGGATGCGAATCAGAATGGGACACGTCCCTCACATAACCCACCATTGAATCCCCTGAAAGGGCCGGTGTTGCATGGGCAAGCACCATACCTCTGGGGATGACGGCTGTTCT